GCAGTGCAACAGAGAAGCGTAAAGGGTACGGCTGGCCATCTTTATTTAGCATCCATTTAAGGTAGATTATTTACTGAAGTTGGTAATTATGTATCCTATTTGTGTACCTGTGATTACCATTTATCGGCCAAATATCGGTTTGGTAAACTCTTTTGGAATATCAGCAGTAGGTGTAGAATGAAACATTCTAGAAGTATTACCCTTTCGTTTTGTCTACTTCCTCTCGAAAAAAAATCTGGGTATCCCAAGTTATTAACACATTTTTAACTGTTAATGGTAAAACAAGTAAATGTGCTAGACACATATTTCTTTAAAAAAAATGGAAATTGATGTTTAACACATTTCATTTTCGTTAGAATAGCCATTCTTCTCGTCTTTAGTGTGAATAATTGCGTATTAGTTTTAAGACTTACATATATAGTTGAAGAAAAAAGGTTGATTGGCACACTTACTAATTACTTTCATTAAAATCTTTCTTACAAACTTCTGTGTCCATTTTTTCTACTTTGAAAGCATGTCTATTTTTTGTCGTACCCCTTTTTCTTTCTTACTGGTCTTCAATATTGCGTGTCCTACCTTTCCTTTATGTAGCAAGCAGAAGGGATAATTGCGATCCAGCGGCGAGGATGGTTAATGGTTAATGGTTAAAACCAAGATAAATGTGCTAGACATCTAAGGTCATGTAGCACTATAGTTAATGTTAGTGAAAGGTGGTTGAGTTAGTGATTAGTTGTCTAGGCTGGGCAAAGGAATTGGTGAGTTAAAGGGTTAAGGTCGGGTGTTAGATTAGATAAAGGATATGTATGCGTTTGAGGAAAGAGAACATGTTGTTGATGCAGAAAGTGTGGGATTCTGTAAGGATGTCTGATAGGTTGGGAGGTCGGTGAAGGGAGGATAGGTGGGGGAAAGCAGAGGCACGGGCTGCTTCAAAACGTGAACACGACAATAGGATGTGTACGATTGAAAGGGGAACCAGCGGCGAGGAAAGTTGCGAATAACTGTGCAAGAGGTGGGGGGAAGCAAGAGGTACAGGCTGCTTCAAAACGTGTGCATGACAATAGAATGTGTGGGACTGAAAGAGGAACATTACATACGGAGCATAGGGGTGGATCGAGTTGTGACATCAGATAGGAGTGTGTTAGACGGGTGTGGAAGGGGATATTTGTGATATAAGGGATTCACGTGTGTATCCAGGAGGGAGTGGAAGGGATAGAGGGGATGGTGGGAGGATTAATGTGGGCGGGGCTGGAGTCGGGGGGATGGGCTGTGTTGGGAGGGGGTAAGAGGATAGGGTGTAGGGGGATATCGTTAAGAGGAGGATGGATATCGGCACTTGGTGTGTGGAGGGAGCAGGAGTTGTAGGATTTGAAGGTTGATGAGTGTAAGTTTTCATTAAGTAGTCTTGAATATTTTCAAGAGTTTCTTCAATGGAGTTGGTTGGGGAGTTTTGTGAGATAAAGGATTTCTTGTGAAGGGGGGGAAGAGAAGACTGGTGTCTCAAGAGTGGGGGCAAAGGAAGGTGGAGGTGATTGTGTGATAGGGGAAGAGGGGGTGGAACATTTGTTCTGTCTGTTGCGGGTAGTGCGGGGAGGGAGAGGTGAAGGTGTTGGGGTTGTAGTGGAGATTGGAGTGTCTGGATTTAGGATGGCAAGAGTTTAACTGGGGAAGGTAGGAGGTAGAAGAGTGGGAGTTAGATGGAGGGGGGTAGGTTTAGGAGAGGGTGTAGGAGCTTGAGAGGTAGGGGAAGTGGCAGAATGAGCAATATTACTGGAGTAAGGATTAATGGTTAATGGTTAATGGTTAAAAGCAAGATAAATGTGCTAGACATCTAAGGTCATGTAGCACTATAGTTAATGTTAGTGAAAGGTGGTTGAGTTAGTGATTAGTTGTCTAAGCTGGGCAAAGGAATTGGTGAGTTAAAGGGTTAAGGTCGGGTGTTAGATTAGATAAAGGATATGTATGCGTTTGAGGAAAGAGAACAGGTTGTTGATGCAGAAAGTGTGGGATTCTGTAAGGATGTCTGATAGGTTGGGAGGTCGGTGAAGGGAGGATAGGTGGGGGAAAGCAGAGGTACGGGCTGCTTCAAAACGTGGGCACGACAATAGGATGTGTACGATTGAAAGGGGAACATTACATAAGGAACATAGGGGTGGATCAGATTGTGACATCAGATAGGAGTGTGTTAGACGGGTGTGGCCAATGCGTAAGCGGGCGAGAGCAGTCTCCCAACGTCTGTTCCGATGAAATGGAGCTGACCAGGAGGAGATTGATAGTTTTACAGAATGTAATTTATTAGTGTGGAGGCTTGACCAGAAAGATTGCCATCGTTTATACAAGAAGGTCTTAAAGTGTGGGTAATAATCCGTGGCTGGGATACGTGAGAAGCGTGGTTGGTATGATGTGGACATAGCAGCGTGGCGTGCTAGTGTATCTGCCTGTTCATTGCCGGGGATTCCAACATGGCTGGGCACCCAGCAAAATTTGATTGTTTTGTGGCGTGTGGACAGGTAGAACAACCAGTTCTGGATCTTACAAACAAGGGGGTTGGTGCTGTGTATTGACTTTATGAGAGTTAATGAGCTACGGGAGTCAGTAAAAATTGTAAAAGAGGAAGAGGAGAGTGAGTATGTGTTTTAGGGCAAAAAGGAGTGCATACAGTTCAGTAGTAAGGACACTGGATTCAGGAGGAAGGGAGTATTTGAAAGTACGAGTTGGGAATATTACTGCAAAACCAGCACCAGAGGTGGATTTGGAGCCATCAGTATATACGTGTATACTAGAGGAATGGGTGGAGACATGGTCAAGGAAATGGATGAGAAGGACAGTAGGAGGAATATTTGATTTTGGTGGGTCGGGGAAAACAGAAGAGCAAATATGGGGGTGAGGTATAAGCCATGGAGGGACGGAATGGACAGAGAACGGGAGAGGTTGGAGATGGGGGAAAGGGGAATGGGAGAGGAGGGTATCCATGCGAGTGGAGAAAGGAGTAGGTAAGCGTGGAGATGAAGCTAAGGTAGGAAGTAGGGATTGTGGGATAGTTAGTTTAGTGAGGGGAAGTTGGTGGAAACGAACATAACATCGGAGTGAGAGCAGGGCACGACGTCGAGATAGAGATGGTATGCCTGATTCAGTATACAGGCTCTCAACTGGAGAGGAGCGGAAGGCGCCTAGTGCTAAGCGAAGACCACAGTGATGGATTGTGTCAAGATGGGCAAGGAGAGAAGTTGAGGCAGAGGAGTAGATATGGCATCCATAATCAAGAGTGGAGAGGATCAAAGTAACATGAAGATGAAGGAGAGTTTTGCGATCTGAGCCCCATGATATATGGGATAGAGTTTTTAAAATTCGAAGGCGGCGGAGAGCTTTTTCTTTAATGTGTAGAATATGGTCTCGCCAGGTCAGTTTGGAGTCAAAAATGACGCCTAGGAATTTGCCAGAGGAACGGCATTGGAGTGGAGTGCCATATAGGAAGAGTGGGGGTAGGGGATTTACACGTGAGCGAGAGAAAAGGATGGAGAAAGATTTAGAGATAGAAAAGCGGAAACCATGGTTTGTGGCCCAGGAAGATACTGATGAGATTGCAGATTGAAGAAATTGGTAGAGATTTGGTATGGATGTGCCAGATGCATAGATGGTTAAATCATCAACATATAGTGATGACCGGGCTCCTGGTGGTAAAACTGAGACAATATCATTAACAGCTAGAAGGAATAAAGTGGTACTGAGCACACTGCCTTGTGGGACACCTTCGATTTGAGGAAAGAAAGATGATGTGGCAGAAGCAATTTTGACCTGAAAAGTGCGTTGGGAGAGGAAAGACTTTATGAAGACACCCATGTTTCCACGTATGCCTAGAGAGGACAATTGTTGGAGAATATGGTACCGCCATGTCGTATCATATGCTTTTTCTAGATCAAAAAATATAGCTAGTACGGATTCATGGCGTGCAAATGCGGATGTAATATATGTCTCAAAATGAGCAAGGGGGTCAGCTGTGCTTCTGGCACGGCGAAAACCGAATTGGGAAGGAGAGAGAAGATTGTGAGATTCAAGATACCACATTAAGCGGAAGTTCACCATTCGCTCTAATAGTTTGCACAAGCAGCTAGTTAGTGCGATGGGGCGATAGTCTTGAGGGAGGGTACCCGATTTATTGGGTTTCAGGAAGGGAAGGATAAGAGCTTCTCGCCAATTAGAAGGAAAATTTCCTGATGTCCATATGTGGTTGTAAATTTTTAATAGGAAGGATAAGGAGGAAGATGGGAGTTGTCGGAGCATACGGTAGTGAATACCGTCAGGGCCTTCATGAGTGTTGCGGCACGATTGTAGGGCAGTAATGAGTTCAGAGGAAGAAAATGGGGCATTATAGGACTCAGCGTTGGATGGGGTGAAGGTAATGGGGGTACGTTCTCTGGTGGTCTTGATAGAAGAGAAGTGTGGAGAAAGGTGAGAGCCACTACTGACCTGGCTGAAATAATCACCCAGTTCATTAGCGACTTGGAGAGGATCAGAAATGAGGGTATCTCGAATATGGAGGACGGGGGCAGGATGGGGGGGATGTTTGCCTGAGAGTTTATGGATTCGTCGCCATACATTTGAGATAGATGTAGAGGATGTAATTGATGAAACATAATTTCGCCAGCTATTTGTTTTACTATTCCGGATTGTACGACGAAGACAGGCAGATGCTCTTTTAAAGGAGATAAGGGCTGATAGTTGATTTGGAGTACCTCTCTTGTAGCGGTAACTGTTCCAGGCTGCACGTTTTAAGCGAAGTGCTTTAGTGCAATCAGAATTCCACCATGGAACACATTTAGAGGTATATGGTCTTGAGGTTCGAGGGATAGCTGTATGTGCAGCTCTTAAGACTGTAGTTGTGAAACATTGTATCATTTCTGAAATGGAGGTGAGGGAGGATGGAGGGGTATGAATAGCAGAGAGTGAAGTGAAAGTATGCCAGTCGGCTCTATCAAAGCACCAGCGTGGGGAGTTAGGAAGTGGTACGTATGAAGTAGGAGAAAGGAGAACTGGAAAGTGGTCACTATAGGGAAAGTGGTCTAA